GCTCACGACCTATAATCTAGGACTCTGGGAGGCTGAGGAGCGGTACTCCAATTGTCAGGTTGGAAACCAGCCTGAGCAAGAGCCTCTATAAATGAAAGAATTAATGGCCCATAATTACATATGATATATAAATTAGCATTGTGCACAGTCTGTAGTCAGCGACCGAGCTGAGGCAGAAGATTGCTTGAGCCCGATGTGCTTGAGAGATTGATGGAGGAGCTGGTGATGCCACGGCGGCGCCGTGCGGAGCGTAGCCGCAGGCGTGAGCCACTTCGCCCGGCCACATTTAAATCTTAATTTAAAGAAATAGCAATGTTTTACTTAAAATTGAAGTTGCATTCTTATTAATCTTCTTAATTGTTTTGTATCGAGCAGTGATTATCTTTCTTAAAACTCTAACCCATTAAAGTTCCTAAAGGACAGGCACTGTGGATTGTTAGCTAGAATATCTAGTCCATATCAGACCACTCTGATACAAAATGTTTTGGCTGCCGATTAAAAGCATACTCAGTGGCTGGGCAAAAGCAGACTTAAAAATACAGTGCAAAAGACACACGTGTTAACTGTCATCAGCCCTTCTCTGCTCGATCTCTGTGGCTCAATGCAGCTCAAGTGGATACGTGAATAAGATAATAAAGCCCCTTGACAATTTTAAAATTTTGCCAGTGATATCCAATACTTTAAACTTCTTTGAAAAGATCCTGTTGTGTTTTATCCTAACACCATCACGTTACTTCCTTGGGAGGTCTTCAAATGAAGGGAGTCTAAACAGCCTCATGCAGATATCTAAAAGCATATGAAAAAGTGGGGCGGAGCGTCCCTGCTGTGTAGGTGTTCAGCAGCATTATCTTGAGAGATTAGGTATACTTAGTGTAAGCTAAGAAAGCTCCTCACATTCTTGTCTGAGCAGTTTATATTAAGAATGAAAGCTGGAATTTATTGAGCACTGTCTGTCAGGCCTGTGCTCAGTGGTTTAAGACTCACTGTGAAACTACTCCATCTGGACAGAATCAAACCATTCAAGATGTAATCAAGCCTTCTAAAGCCTAAGCCTAGTTGATGTGCACTGTTAGTCTGATGGTTGGGACCAGGCCATGTTTGGAAACGGATAACAGAAGTAGAGCAGCAGCCTCACGAGGATTCCAGCAGAAAGTAGGCAGACCTTCAGCACGCCTGGGTTCAACATGAGCCTTACTCACAGTTCCACTCAGAGATCCCTGTGTCAAAGCAACCACTTGCCAAAAGCTATGCACCCTGCCCCCAGACCAAGGATCAGCTGTAGTTTTACCTCATCAATGGCTCATTTAAAGCACGTAGAGCCTTTGTTTCAAACCTTTGCACAGTTTTTATCAGCCATGACCCTTCTCATGTTAGAATTCCATATAAACACTCACATATGAAAGAAAAACGTCCAACATATATTGAAGGCTGAAAAATGGAAGTTATGTGCTTGTTTCAGAAATTAACATAGCACCCTGTAGCTCACTAGTATTTTTAATTAGTGAAGGGGTAAGATATATAGATCAGAGAGAAGAGAAAGCAATAATTTGCCTAAGAAGTAATCTGTTCAGAGAAGGCATACTGCATCCAACTGAGGACTCAAGCATCATTTTTTCGGAGACAGGTCTTGCTCTGTTGTTCCAGCTAAAATTTTGTGGCATCAGCCTAGCTCACAGCAACCTCAAACTCCTGGGCTCATGTGATCATCTCACCTCAGCCTCCGCAGTAGCTGGGACTATAGGCCTGCACCGCTATGCCCAGCTAACTGTTCTATTTCTGGTAGAGATGGGGTTTTGCTCTTTCTCAGGCTGGTCTTCAATTCCTGACCTCCAGCAATCCTCCAACCTTGGCCTCTCAAGTGCCATATTCACACGTGTGAGCCACCACACACAGCTACAAGCATTATTTTATTTTTTTTTTTTTTGAGACAGGAGTCTCCTTGGTTTGCCAGGTAGAGTGAGTGGCCATGAGCGTCAAGCCTAGCTCCAGCAACTCAAACTCCTGGGCTCGAGCGATCCTTCTTGCCTCAGGCCTCCCCGAGAGTAGCTGGGGACTACAGGCATGACACCACCAAGCCCGGCTAATTTTTTATTATATATTACAATTGCCAATTAATTTGCGTTTCTATGTTATAGGTAGAGACGCGGGTCTCGGTCTTTTTTCTCAGCTGTTTTGAACTCTGACCTTGAGCAATCCGCCGCCATCGCCTCCCAAGAGCTTAGGATGTGACAGGCGTGAGCCACAGCGCCCGGCCTACAAGCATTATTTTTAAAGGACAAAAACTTATCACTCGGAGTGCCTTCTCTGGAAGTAAAAATATGACCACTAGTAGTTCAGCCTTCAAACCCAATTACTTTCCACAGTGTTTCAATTCATTTTTCAGATAGAAAAAAAAGGAAAATCCAGACATTATTAAAGCTATGGGTACTGTCATATACGTTTTGGCACTGAGACTCTATTCAGCTAAGATAAAGACCACACCTTCAGAAGCAAAGTATTTCACTCATTCACGGTAAGGGAACCAGCGAGGCCCAGGTCAGAACCTGGAGGCATCAGCTTCAGTAAGGGAGGTGTCTGCAGGGGGAGCACAGAAAGGAAATGACTCCAAAGAAATTAAAGAAGCCTTAAAAACTGTTTTCAAAGAGTGAAATGAGTAACTGTGAGAAAGGGGAATTAGAAGAGCACAGGCATAATGTGCAGTGCCTGGGGTGTGTGCACCCACAGACACAGGACGGGCACCAGAGGACAGCGCTGGTGTGCACACCTGGAAGAATCTGACTCTGCAACTCACAGTCACATATCCTGAAGTTCAGAAGGCGCTCGGTAGGGCAGTTCAACAATGTAGACGCTTTTGTAAAAATAAGAAAGGGCATGAAGTGACAGTTCTCTAGTCCTGTAGACTGAAATTTGTGGCATTAGAAAGTTCTAATTAAGTCTTCTACTGACATCTTCTAAGCCACTTTTGAACTAGAAGACATGATGGAGAACAGAACTATAATAAAAGAAAAGCTACCAGAGAATAAACTACTAATAAGAAATAACTACACAATCACTCCTGCAAACTATCTAGCCCAGTTGTGATACTCAATTAAGTTCTTAATAGTTTTTAGCCATAAAGAAAAAGATAATGTTAAAACATATAGGAGTCAGAAAAAAAGAACACTGGGAATGTAAATATTGCTAAAGTTCACGGAATAATAAACATAGTCTTACATAACAAGCTTTACTCCCCATAACAATTCAAACTGCAGTGGTCTGTGACATAGGGAAATGATAAATAGTTTGGTTTTAGGGAGGAAGGAGGAAAGAAGAATCTGTGCTTAGGCTGTCATGTTAGTGAGTGAGCAAACATTTCTTTTGACCAAAGAGAACAAATGGAAGGCTCTGATTAAGGAAACAGAAACCTTACAATGCAATTTCAGGAAGTAAATGTCAGAAGGAAACAATTTTGGTTTTCAAAAACAATTTGAAATATTTTTTGGTTACAAAAACAATTTTGGTTTGCTTTCATGACCAAACTGTTCAAATCAGAAGGAGGATGCAAGCTGATTTTTATACATTTTTACTCCAGGACTCACTTGGACTTTAATCTCTTTATTTCTATCTTTGAATTTAGTTGATACGAGACTCTTCTGCAAACAAAGAAGGAAAATCCATGCCAGCCTAGGACACTGGCTTTATACAGAATAAAACATATTTAACTACTCTCTACTTTTGTCCTTTTCTCCTCTCCTTCCCCCCAACTAACTCTACTTCTCAGGTTCTCCGAACCTATCTAATTCTACTTTACCGATTCTACTGATTTCCTATTTCATATCCTCAAGAAAGTCATCCGCATATAGTGTTGTCTTTATTGACAGATTACTACTAGTGTTTTAAATCATGTTCATTCTGTGTATGCTTGGCCCTCAACCAGATAAAAAACATTCAGAAGATTTTAGACTCTCCATTTCTCTTGGATGCTCAAGTGTCTCTCTTTCTTAGGTAGAGACTGTGCTACTACGTGGCCACCTGGAGCCTTTGGCAAACTGCTGAGCACTCACTGTCTCTACCTTGCTCTCTACCTGTGGCTCCTGCCTCAGGTCCTCATCCTGCTCCCCCACTACCCCCGGCCTTTGCTCAAGTTATTAATGTGCACAGAATAATCTCTATTTCCCTATTCGCTGTTGTACAATGAACCATGGCTTACTACTGTCTGCCTCCTCTAGGAAACCTCCCTGGTTTAACTCCATCCTTTCAATCATCACACTCAGCGAGCCAGCCAGGAGGATGGTGCTGAGATAAGAATTTGGAACCCTAGTATCTTGCTAAAAATTAGCACTCAAATTTAACTTACCTTCAGAGAATACTTACTGTTATTATTTTGATTTTAAAAGTGGGAAATAAATAACATGCTTCCATTTATCTTGTGAAAAACAAATTTTCTTGCAAACAGGTAAAATTTTATACTTTTTTATTTTTCCATTCTGAATCACTGAGTATCTATCATCTGTAGTTCTTTCATTGCAAACGTACCTATTTTGTCTTCCTTCTGTTGTGACACCGGGTGTCGTGTTATTCTATAAAAAAGGGCATTTTTGTCTTAAACTATTTGGTAAGCACAGTACAGTGAGGAAAAAAAAAAACTCATCTACATAAACAGGAGTTTTCAGTCCTTAAATTAAACTATGCTAAAACATCCATAGTAATGGCCAAAAGATCAGAAAAGGGAGCAAGGACAGCAACCTCTGCCCTCTCTTCTGGTAGAAAAGAACATGAAAAACAGCTAAGATAGGGTGACTATGATAGCGGTTTATAATAATCAGTAAAGTAATAATTCACAGACTACTGAAATCAAAGTTGTTGAGATTACTGTTCGGCCTAACCTTAGCGAGAGGAAGACTGCTGCTTGAACTGGAATCATTAGCATGTAGCTAAAAGAAAATGAGAAAAACAACAAACCACAACACAAACCCAAATGGTTTATTAGGAAACTAAACTTCTCATAACACAGAGACCTCTCAGAAACAGTTCATTTGGAGAGATGTGGAATCACAGTGTTTAAAAATGACAACCACAAACTCAGGCAAAATTATTTTTTTTACTGCTGGAAAAAGTCACAAAAGGTTACTTATCTATGTTCTTCTTTCCAGGCTTTTTCAAATAACTCTAAGTGTTCTGTTTACTTATTGAGGGTGTTTATCTTGAAGTTCAAATATTGGCTTATAATGGTCATAGGAGTTAGATTTGGTATTTTCAGGTAAATTTAGAAAATGATATATCACATATGTTATACATATCATATATACATATCATACAAACATACATATACATATAAAATGAAATATGTTATACATATCTAAAAAATAAAAACTAAGGAACTAGTTTACATAAACTGATCATTGACATAAAGGGCATTTCAACTCTTCCTCTCTGATCACTCTTACCTCATCAGATGTTTCCTCTAGCAATCGATAGGTGGCATTTATTTCGTCCGGTTGTTGCTGTTGGAGTGACTTCTCAATATCTTCTTCCTCATACCCCATCCTCAGCAGAATCTCTAAACAAGAAGGGTAAAATACAGATTATGTGTTTTGTTTGGGTAAGAAATCATTCTGTTACAGGGTAAAACAATTTTCTTTATTTGACCTAAAAGATCACACATTTTCTAACACAAATGAGCACTTGCTTCTGAGTTACTGGGTGCTACTGTAGGAAACTACATTTAGTTAAGTTTCTAAATATGACAGAACAAATAAGCTGATTCATTACGAACGTGGGCTTAACACTCCGTTATTCACATCTTAGGCATATGCATGAATCCAAACAGAAATATGTTACTTATACAAGCACAGGCACACGTAAGCACGTAGGCACAGAGTAATTACCAATGCGTTTTTCATCTCGGGTGATAGCTTCTTCTACGTAGGGTGTCAACTTCTCCGTGTGTTCTAAGTTCACCCATTCGTCATCCATAATTTTCTGAAAAGGTGAACTGTTCATTAGAAGCATAAAATAAAATATTCCAATAGTCGCAATATTTAAGAACTTTATTTTCAACATTTCAGTAATTTAAATTTTTTTTACTGTCTCAACTCCTGCTTAAATGTCCCCGGCAAATGTTCAGTATGCCACACAAACCAAGATAAGTTCTAAAATTACTCTAAAAACTCTCCAAAGTTGTTACTTATTTCCACGTATGTGATTACCTGGAGCGAGCGTCTCCCCTGTGGGTTCACCACAAGTAAGCCCTTCAGGAGGTTCTTGCATTCTTTGGAGATACAGGAGGGGACGCTGTATTTTCCCGTTCTCACCTTCCTTATTAGCTCCTGTGGGCAAGGAGAGAGGAAAGAAAACTAGTGAGTCAACTTTAGGTTAAAAAACAACAGAAAACCCACTGAAACCCCTAAACTGATAGAACATTAAAAACATAAGCCCATATAGTTTTATAAAACTCCTTCCAGTTTTGTATATTACATGGATACAACCGCTTCCTATACCTTGGGACTGTCCCCAGTGAATGGCACAGTGCCGGTCACAAACACATAAAGCACCACCCCTAGGCTCCAAACGTCGGCAGTAGGGCCGTGATATTTCTTCCCTTCCAGTATCTCTGGGGCCATATATAACGTAGTCCCACAACAAGTCTGAAGTGGAGTGCCCATCGTGAATTGCGCACTTAATCCAAAATCCGTAATTTTGATATTGTCCCTGGTGTCTAATAAGAGATTCTCCGGCTAGAGAGAAAACATCAAAACAGAAATAAAATTTAACCAAAATACAATTAGAACTATGCAAGATTAGACATTTCATAAAGAAGCTTTTTGTAATGATATAAAGTTAGTATCTCCTAATTAATGAAATGAGAAAACATATTTTTCTAGACGAAAAATACAGGAGACAAATTTGAACTCCTAATTTTATCACATTAACAATCAATAACAGACATGAAGTGCTAGAATAATCATCATTAATTCATATACTAATTTAAGTATAACTGTCCCAAGATAAAGAAAGGTTTTGACAGGTTTTTTTGTTTGTTTTGTAGAGACAGGGTCTTGTTCTGTCACTGAGGCTAGAGTGCAATGGTACAATCACAGCTCACTGCAACGTCAGCCTCCTGGGCTCCAGCAACCTTCCTGCCTCAGCCTGCTGCATAGCTGGGACTACATGCATGTGCCACCATGCCTGGCTAATTTTTAATTTTATGTTTCTTACAGAGATAGGTTTCACTATGTTGTCCAGGCTGGTCTTGAACTCCTGGCCTCAAGCAGTCCTCTTGCCTGTGCCTCCCCAAGTGCTGGGATTATGGGCCACCATGCCTGGCCCTTTGACAGATTTTTAAATTAAAAATAATCAGGGCTTTTTAAAAAAAGAAAATGCGTACTTGCTTGAAGTGGATAGTTACATTTTACAAAAATTGCTACATAGCTGTAAAATGGCTATTAATGGGGAAGGAAGAATCCCAAACCCATTCAAGAGACAAATCACAGCCACTTCCATTTATTTCAACAAGTATTTACTATGTAGCTACTACACAACAGATGCTATATTAGTGTCTGGACACA